GGTTGCTTACTTCTCAAAAATCAGCATAAGAAATCATCTTTAATGCTCTAATAAAAAGTCTTCGTTGTGCAATTTTACGGTGTAAACTACTTCCCTCTGATTCCCAACTCTGATCTTAACTCTAACAAACGAACTTTGAATAATTTTTGCTGCGCTACAAACCTGGCACACATTCAAGAATTACTACACTTTATTACTGAAACTAATGGTGGACGAGAACTGTCCTTTTATTTATCAAATTCGAGATCCTTATATACATTTTAATTTTTAATAGATTTACACCCAGAATCGAACGTATATATGATGAGTTGGGTGTTTACACCAAGTAATTATTAACGTACACACCTGAAAGTTACAGGGCGCAGTCTTTGCATAACCATGTATACATAAATTTTTCGGTGTATACAGGATGCATTTGATTTCATGCATCTACGCCACTAAGCCACCTTTAATTTCCGTAATAGTATAACTAAAATATAACATGTACGTACGTACGTTGAGAAAGTGGAAATAATCCTCTTTCTGGGTAATACCGATAAATACTACAACACAACACTAAAACTAACTAAACTACTCTAACCAAAACACCACAACTAATACAACCAAACCCTAATAGTGGTAAGGCAACGATCGAGGCGTGGTCCGAGTAACTAGGGTTAGGGATGGGCAAATCGACGAGTTTTTGAAATTACTGCGCAGTAATTTCAAAAAATCGTCGATTTGCCCATCCTTAGTACTATCGCTATTGCATGAATAATAAAATATTGCAAAACCTCAGTAACACAAAATCCTTGTCGCCCTGTAGTTGTGTTATTATAATAATAATAATTAATTAATGGTACTCTGATCTCCTTCAATGAATTTTTCCGTTAACAATATGGTGGCTTGTTTGTCAAACAAAGAATCTTATCTAACAAGTATATTAGAAATGTTGCATGAAATAGCAAGCTTTACATCTTAGCACGAAAACAATATAGCTAGCTATTTGTAGCAATTTGGTAAAAATAGCGCTATTTTAGATACTACGAATAGCTGGACACTCAGATGTGAACTGTGAATTACAATACATATAAATTTTATATGTATTATAATTCACAGTTCACATCTCTAAATAATTAATAGTTCGCGCCTCTAGATGTAATTAACGAGTAATTCTATTTGGGTCAAACAAATCGGCCCCAAAATAATGCATAATCATTTATCTTTATTACGTAGGGGGGTTCAAAATTAATGTTAATTTTATTGAAGTAACTTAATTGCATTTTCTTTTTGAGCATATTTAGATCTAAATCAAAGAATACTTTGCAGAAACATGGATTTTTTAATGCACAGTAACTCCGTATAAAATAACTACATAGTCACTATTAAACTTGATAGTTACTATATACTGTAGTTACCACATGGATATTACGTGCATTAAAATATTCAAGTTTCTGTATAGTATATGTTTGTAACAATACTAACTATTCTTATATAAGGATGTTTATTAAAGAGGTCGAACAACTCACTCACTCACTCACTCCCTCACTCACTCACACTCTCACACTCTCACTCACACTCACTCACTCTCTCTATCTCTCTCTCTCACTCTCACTCTCACTCACTCTCACTCTCACTCTCTCTCTCTCTCTCTCTCTCTCTCTCTCTCTCACTCACACACACACACTCTCTCTCTCTCTCTCTCTCACTCACTCTCTCTCTCTCTCTCTCTCTCTCTCTCTCTCTCTCTCTCTCGCACAAAAAAAAGTTACCATCAAACGCTCAAGATAAAATATAGATTACCACATAAAATTTAATAAAACCAATAATAGTGCTACTAAATTTTCTATAAACCTTAAATGTAAAACAAGGTTATTGAAAAACTATAAATTTCTCCAAGTCCCAAACATAATAAAAATATTATTCTTGCGCAAAATATCAAATTATACCGAATATGGTTTATTATCAAAAATCTGCAGAGTTGGAGGATGCTAAAAGAACATGTAATGCTGGATATTGTTATCAATATGGGATTGGTTTTGAAAAGGACGAACATGTGGCATTCATTAATTATCAAAAATCTGCAGAAATGGGCGACGTTGATGGAACATTCCAGGTTGGATATTGTTATCAAAACGGAATTGGTGTTGAAAAGGATGAACATGAAGCATTCATTTATTATGAAAAATCTGCAAATATGAATAATGTTAAGGGGATATTTATGACCGGTATTTGTTACGCATTTGGAATTGGTGTTGAAGAAAATATTAACACAGCCAAATATTGGTTCAAAAAAGAAGTGTTTCAAGATAACTTCCGTCACATAGACAATGATGATGATGCATTCTTTCAATTTTGCTTTAATAATTATTTTTATCAAGAATTTTCTGATTCTCCACATTTGCTTAAGGAATCCCATCTCTATTTCTCAAATAGTATATGAAATGCCTCCTATGGAAGATGCATACAATGTAACCAATATAATACTTCAAAAAGCTGGTGTTTTGCATGTGATCCTATAAAAACTTTAGAATGGACATCTGGAAACAAGGATATCGATGATTGCGTCAAAGAATTTCAACTTAAGTCTATTACTTATGAGAGGGTGATTAAATGGATTCCGTTTAATAGGCTAGAGAAAATAAAAAAAATCGGCGAAGGAGGATTTGGTACCATATTTTCAGCGACCTGGTTAGATGGAGTACGACAAATCATTAGCAACTCTGATCGGAGCTATGAACGGTCACGCGAAAAATCATGCATTGTTGCACTCAAGACTTTGTCTGGTTCTAATAAAGGCCCTCTTGAGTTTTTAAATGAAGTAAGTTAAAATTTTATTCATTTATTTATTTGAAAATAATTTATTGAACTAATCATATATTTAAATTTACAAGTTTAAAGTCCATATGTATTGTAAATTAATGGCAAGTGGACTTAAAATTTATGGATTAACTCAAAATACTAAAACCAAAGAATACCTTTTGGTGTTTCAACATGCTGATAATGGCAATCTTCATGATTATCTAATAAAGAATTTTAAAACGCTTAAATGGAAAAACAAATTACAAATGCTTTTGTACATACTCCATGATTTAGTACAGATCCATCGAGCAGGGTACATCCATGCAGACTTTCATAGTGGTAATATTTTGCAAAGCAGTTATGATAGTGAAATAAGATCTTATGTATCAGATTTCGGATTAACCAGAAAGAATGATGAAAACAATTCAGAAGGTTATATTTGTGGAGTCATGCCTTATGTTGCTTCAGAGGTTTTGTTAGGACAGGAGATTACACAAGCCGCGGATATTTATAGCTTTGGAGTCATCATGTCAGAAATGTCAACTGGACAAAGGCCTTTTGATGGTCACGATTTTGATACCAAACTTGCGGTAAAAATTGCTAAAGGATTAAGACCAGAATTTGCACCTAGGACTCCTAAGTGTTATATTGAATTGGCTAAGAAATGCATGGATTTGGATCCTAGGAAACGGCCCAAAGCTTGTGATCTTTGGAAAATACTTTATAAGTGGTATAAATGCATGGATTCGGATCTTAAGAAACGGTCCAGAGCTTGTGGTCTTTGGAAGATACTTTATGAGTGGTATAATGATGATAAAATCAAAAGGCAATTTTTAGACGCTGATGAAATGATCAGCAAATTGCCAATTAACCCACCAAAACATGCAAATGTTATATATACAAGTAAAAAGATTAGTACACAGCAAATAAATAGATTAATGGTAGAAACAAGTCAGGAATCAGCAACCACAATTGCAATGAACAATTTAAACTACATTTGAAACTTTGCTGGTGTTAGACCCGAAATTGGTCCTAAAAATTACCTGACCTATCACACGTACGCTTGACAATAATGTCACACGAAGGTCACAAAGACCAAGAAATATCGTAGTTCTCGTAGTTCTCACATTTCTTATATTTATTACACATATATTATTACCATTACACTCAGAATACCTATTATCCGATTCATTAAGGAAAAACGTAGTACGAGATTAAAAACAAATGATGTATAATAAAGATTTTCAATGCAACTACTATGTTTAGTAACACCAGTCTAAAGAATTGTGCTAATAGATTAATCTTAGGATATTGTCAGTAGATTAGGGTTAGAGGGTTCTAGTTATATTGAAATTTAATAAGGAAACTTTTTCTAGTATGCGAATGATTTTTGATTTTTCGCATTTTGACTGTCGAAATTTTTTTAACCTATATTTTAAATGCTCTTTGTAACTATTGATAAGCATATTTAATAATTTTAATCAAATTGTTGGATAGAAACGTATTGGACTTTAAATTATTTATTTTAATGTTTGCCAATTCATCACGAAAAGATATCGATCGATGATGTCTTAAAACAGCCGAAAGTACATGGTACTGTATATTTTAGTACATAGAGATTCTCCAAAATAACATTAAAAATTTTCAAGAAATTCGAGATTTTTGATTGAAAGTTTTTCAAAGAATTTAGCTACCATCTTCAAATGAACTTAACGTTAACGAAAATTGGTTGCATCCATAAAAGGGATAACTAAACATATGATAATTGTTACCCACTATAAAAACTGAGAGATGACGCTTTTTTATTTAAGTAAAAAAAAAACACTCTTTAAAATGATGCACTCAAAACATCCCTATCTTACCCGTTTCAGTTCTATTGTTCCAACTATTTCAACTTCCACTTTGTTAACACATTCATTCAGGTTGAGCAAAAAGCTTCTTAAACGAACCAGGGATCAGTTACTTACAAAGCGATAATGAGGATATGAAACCAGTTATTGTCGCTGAAAATGTATCCCTCGAAAAATATATCAAGTATTGCAAAGCTGAACGAAAGCTTCCTGTTAGCATTCGTTTAGTTGATGGAAACGTACAAGCTTATGAAGTACATCTCACATCTCATGGAGCAGTATCAATTAAAATTTCTTTCCTGATTCATACTTGGAGTAATCAATTAATTTGTGTAAACAATGAAGACTTTATTGTGGGTCCAATAGTAATTACACTTCTGATCTTACTATTCGACCACGAAATCTTCCTAGAGCTCCAGCTGGACAGGAACCTAACTCAGAAGGGAGAGCATACCCAACACTAGTTTGTCGAAGTTGGAAATAGAGAGTCAACCTATAGCTTACATGACCTTTCAACGGGTTATTTTTCTTCACGAAAACTATCCAAATTTATCTTGCAATAAAACTATTTCCTATTCGTAATGATAGTACAAGAGCAATTCTTGCACTACGTTATCTACATATAAATCCAAATCCAACAGTACTGGATACTGTAATATCCTTCGGCACAGCACATCTTAGTCATAATACAATAGATTTTCTTTTAAATAATGTGGGCGTTTCATTTGCTAAACAAATGCTTGTAACGCCCCCTGGTATTTCGAATTATCAATTGCATATTCCTGCTGCTGAAATTTTTAACGGTGCACCTGGTAGCATCCCCGCTGGGGTGTTTGGTCAACATACTAAATCAAGCATATGTATAGTCCCCTATCAAATCGGTATAATTGAGATTTTTATTTAATGCTATTGATCTGCATACTCATAAATTGTATTATTGATATCCATATATAAATTGACTGCATTAAAAAAAGTAACTCTAACTTTAATACGATTAATTTATTCTTGCAATTTAGCTATCTAGCTGTTAATTTATTAATTGATTGCAAAAAGTAAATACGTGAATTAATGCGTTATAACTAGTACTTTGAACTCTCGTGTCTAAATTTTAAAATTTAAGATATAGCGCAAGTTATTTACAAAATTTGTGCTTTTTAAGTTATGTAAATAGCTATAAAATATTAGGAAAAATTTTAAATTTTTAAGTACCAGAAAAAATCCTCTCGAGAATTAAAAAGCACACCTTTTAGCCTATTCTGCATTAGGCCACGCAAAGTTGATTTTTCGTTTTGCATTACCCGCCGACCCATTTTTTTTCAAATTTTCGATTTTTTTTTT